ATACACGCACCTCGGTTGCTTCCACTTTCAGTTCCGCGTTTTATTTCCATTTCGCAGCTGACAGAAAAAAATGGCCAGTTGTCCCCCTCGGGTTGTAGCTATCGGGAAAAAAATGTATGTATAAAGCCTAATGAATGAATTCTGCAAATGTTTGATTAATAAAATGACCATCTGCGATCGCCAAGCAGCAAAATACGAGCGCAGTGTTGTTGGAGGTATGAACGTTCTCTAGGTTTTACTCGGTACTGGGAGGAAAAGGCAGAACAAAGGTTTCTGGTCTCATCCGCCTCAGTCCAGATCACGGCAAGCCCTCTTTCCTGGTTGGTTGATGAAGACCGGATCGACCAGGAAATTTTGATTTCATAACACTAGATGGCGCCAGACCGCCATCAGGTCCGACCAGGTTTTCCTCTGGCTCAGTGTTGTGTTTGTTTCTATGGAGGGATGCTGTCAGGGCCGTAACCAGAGCGTAGACTTTACTGAGGCCCGCAATTTCTACTGCTGGATAGCATGTAAGCCTATTCGCCTATAACTGATCACATGGCTGATCACAGTTTCATGCTCATCTCTGCCTGTTTGAACAATTCTGCTCCACGTTTCCTTTCTCTGATTTCAGATCAGCTGCACTGACTTCTCATATTCTTCAAGCTGCTGGACGCCTTGCAGTTTGCTTACCAGGAGAAGGTGGGTGTGGAAGATGACAAACTAACTGAGATGGAGTGGACCCAGACCTCTTCTGAAACAGTGACCAGCACAGGACAGTGTGCTCTCCTGCCTCTTTCACCTTGTACTCTTCAGACCTCAAATACAAATCACAGTCATGGAGAAGGTTCAGATGGGCAAAGAAATGTCATGCTCCATGGTTGATCACACCTCTTAGTATCTTTATCTTTAGTTTCTTTCAGTTAATGTTTTTATTCTGTTTAGTTTCTTGCTATTTCCTTAGTCTTTCCTCCGTGGCCATCTGTGTCAAGCTTGTATGTTTAGCTTTCAGTTTTACTTTCTCTGGTCTCATTTACCCTGTCTACTTTTATTAGCTCTGTGCATTGTTTCTCAGCTCTGATTACTTCCAGTTCAGTAGTTATTCTTTGTCAGTGTCAGTGTTTTTCTGCCAGTTAGTTTTCTGTCTGTTTTCCTGCTCTTTTGTTACCCTTCGGACAGTTTCTTCGTTTGGGGATCCTCTTTCACAACTCATGATAAGCATCCCTGGACCATCACGCTACAACCACCATGTTTGATTGTTGGTGTAATGTTCCTTTAACCTCCTAAGACCCGAACTCTTCCACTGCATGCATTTTTAATTTCTCTTTGATATTTGGTCACATTGGGGCCTGATGAATGTAAAAACAAAGAATTACCAGATTTTTTTTTAAAACTTATTTTTGTTTTTAAGAAAAATGAGAGCCACAAATGAGGATATTCGTTTAAAATTTTGATAGAACAGTAGCACTATAATGTCCTCGTAAGTGGATATCAGGCCCTTGTAGAGCAAAACTGAGTATTTAGGTCATTTATTATTTAGGTTATTTATTTAATCAGGTCCTAGGAGGTTATTGAAATGCTGTGTTAGTTTTATGTAACAGGACTCAAAAGTTCCAAAACATTCAACTTTTGTCTCGTCGTTCCACAGGTTATTTTCGCAAACGTCTTGGGGCTCATCAGGAAGTCTTTTAGCAAATATGAGATCAGCCTCTGTGTTCTTTTTGATCAGAAGTGTCTTCTCTTCAGCTACCTCTCCTCCTTCAGAATTACAGCATCCACTTCTGGCTGCTTTGTTTGAACATTAAGAGAATTGACACAAAGTCAAAACAAAACTGGGAGCTAGCCAGAAGCTGTACACAAACAGTACCAGACCTGCAGTGCTGGAGCAAATTTGCCTCTTTTAATAATAAAGTTACTTATGTCCTTTTTTCATATTAAATCTACATGTGACTTTTTCCATCACCAGGATCTCTTCAACCAGCAACCCAAGTCTATAGCTCAGTGTTTCAGTCCTTAGCAAGTTTTTAGTTACATTTTTTTTTGCCTCTGCCAGAGGATTCTTAAACAGGTCTTTTGGATGCACATGTCCTTGCACACGATCGTGAAATCGTATAACTAAATATTCCACTCTTGAACTGTTTACTTTTAATTTGAGATCTTACAAAATACTCAACCTGGTTCTTTCAGCTAAATTGCATCAGTTTCAGGGATTGCATTGCCTTGTTGCAGACAGGGCAATGTTGCATTGATATCATACTGCATCTCTTCTGGGATTTCTTCTTCCAGCCACCGTTCCCATTTTATTTGTTTACATATAAAGTCGAATATTCTCTAGAGTCTATCAAACTACAGTACATAGTAGACACAACTCTGGGAACTGCCTATGATAAGATAATGCACATGTCTTTATAATAGGATGTGTTTTATCCTCATTTGTCTTGTATCTGTATCTGTAAATATCTAAAGAAATCCTGGTTTGTAAGATCATATGTGATTTTTATATCTTGAAAACTCTGCCTTTGACCCTTTTTAGTAAGTGTACACATGGCGGTAATACCTTGTCTCACAAACTGTTTAAAGCTGGCGTCAAACATCCCCGGTTTGAATTCATCTTCATGGGTGATCCATCTTAGAAGTCCAAGTCCTTATCCCAATTACAACTGCTTTACAACTGAGTACCATTTATCTAAAGTAAACATTATTATTAGAGGCTTTATAGTCTCGGGCCTCAGTCTCACCAGTACTGGCATGGATCTGTTTTTTTAAGGGCTTGAGTATCTTTCCTCAAAGCAACATCAGTAATATAACACTAATCAGAATCAGCATACTTTATTAATCCCTAGGGGAATTATATAGGTTACAGTTGCTCCTGTACCTTAATATTAACAAAAACAGACTAAACTGTTTAACAATACAATATGTTAAGATATAAGGAACAGCACAATATATACAAATCACCAAATAATAAATATCCAGGTTTGACAGATGTGATTATAAATAAAAAAAAATTGACAGCAGCATTACCGAGTAAGAAAGAGTGTGTGCAAAAAGGATGCAACTATTTCAGTGTTTACAGTGTTTAGATGGAGGAGTTTTTAGTAATCTCAGTCTCTCACTGAACGTGCTCCTGTAGCTAGCCAGCATGTCATGGAGTGTGTGGGAGGTATTATCCAACATTGTCTTTATCTTGGACAACATTCGCTTCGCCGACACCACCTTAAGAGAGTCCAGCTCCATACCCAAAACATTACTGGCCTTGCGGATCAGTTTATCGTGTCTGTATAGACATACAGAGTCCTTATCCCAATTACTGTAGAGACATACAGACTCAGACTCAACATACAGACATACATGATAGACAAGTTGTTGTAGTTGAGCTTGAAAATACTCTTATATTTGGAAGTACCATCCATCATTTTCTTCCTATTATCCGGGGCGGGGTCATGGAGTTTGCAGCCTAAGCAGAGAAGCCCAAACCTCCCTATCCCCAGCCACCTCCTCTAGCCACCGTCGACCTCTGAGATGCTCCTCATGTAATCTCTCTAGAGTGTCTTTGGTCTGCCCCGAGGCCTCTTCCCGGTCAGACATGCCCAGAACATCTCACCCAGGCTCAGAAGTACCATTAGATCTTTATTTTTAGGTAGTTGTAGTATAGTGTGACAGATGGTCTCTTTCTATCCCATATACATCTAGAAATGAGCTTATCCCATCTATAGAAATTGAATTGGTGTTATATCTGCTGGCACTGATTAAAATAGACATAGTAATAAATAACTAGAAATAAATTAACAAACAAAGAAACAATAGCAGATGTGGATATCCAACTTTGTTACAGTTAATTCTAACATTTAATCCCAAAGGGTGGTTAAACCATCGTTCAAAGTCTTTTCTTATGTTGGTATCAATATAGTCATGATTGCTTTGGTATAGTTTTGACAGATTTCTTTTTTTTTAGTTACATTCATTTATTTGAGAGCTTTATCTTCTTTTGATCTGTTAAAGGGCTGGGTACTTGCTAAATATATCTAATATTTGGATCAACTGAGTACAGGGGTAAAGAAATCATAACACTGTCTATGAATGAGCTAATGGTGTGTATTTGATTGTTATCTGTTATTCCAGTTATGAGTTTACTTTGCTGGATCATTTGGGCAAGTTGTTCAATATCCAGAGAAACAGCGTAGGACTGAGACAACAGGCCCATCTAATCCCCTCTCTACTACAAAGCTCTTTATAAAGGATCCTTTGACTTTTATGCTGGCTGTGGGTTTGTTACAGAGAGACCTAATGCACCGAATTGATTTTAATCTCGCCTGCTTTCAAGCATAGAGACACAGGAATATCGACTGAAGATGGTTCGCATCACATTGACACCTACCCCAGCCTTCCAGAAGCCACAGTTATTTCAGGCTGGAGAAATGATCCTCATGAGATGTAATGAATTGGTGAAGTGCAATTATTGGTGCAGAAAAGAAGAACAATAAAAACTCACTGGATGCTTGTTCCTGGACTTCAAGCAGAGCGTGAGTTTAAGACCTTCATAAAGAGGTGCCAGTGAGCAAGCAGCCACATACTACAGGGCTGGCCTTTTACTGCAAGCTCACCTCGCCTTCCTGTCTCTCTTTGCTTTCACTATTCAATGAAGGCAAAAATGCCCCCCAAAATAATATAAAAGATCATCATCGCACAGCATTTCCCACAAGGGAGCCTACGGTCAGTAATAAAGCTCAATCAAAGCGAATCTTCTGTCTTCATATAGTTTCTAAAACTGACTGCAGACAGAATCTTGGGACTGATAAAGCACTACATGTCTGACATAGACTGGACAAAAAGGACCTGTATTGTGCATAATCTATTATTTAGGATGACCGCCCAAATTAACGTGTTTTATAATGAAGAGTTGTGTATTTCTGAAATTTTAGAAAGTAATATTTTACTTGTGTTGAAACAGGCAACACAAGGTTTCTGGTATTTCCAAAAGGCAAGAAATTGCCTTTTGGAAATAAAGTTCCATCACCCAATCCTCAGTGGAAACTTTCAAACTAAAGTCTTAAAAATACACTATTGTTCAGGATGAGAGTTGTATGGAGGTGCACATGAATCCTTGTTTCAAACAAATGTGTTGAATAATAGTAGATAAGCTTCAGTTAATATCCTGGTCAAGCTATAAGAGCTGTTGTCGAGTACACTGTGAAGACTCACGTCTGTAGGTGCCTGCTTGACCTTACTTGGTTAAGCATGCACCCACAGATGCAGAGACCAGGCTTTGAACCTGCCCCAAATCCATTTTCTGCGTGTTTTCCCCTGGTCTTTGTCTCGGCTTACCAGCATTCTCTCCACTGTCCTATCAAAATAAAGACTAAAGAGCTTAAAACACATATTAACATATACACAGACAAGTGATTTAGGCGTATCATGTTTAATATGCATTTAAAAATGCATTTCTGTAGTGATTTTTTAATTCTTTTGTTTTTCCATCTACTGCACCATCATCAGCATTAAATGATACTCGCTGACTTGTTACTGTGGACGGGATGGAAACTTTTAATGCAGAAAACAACAGACTAGGCATCACAACAGAGGCTGGTAAAAACATTAGGAAACTAAGCTTTCTTTCATTCCATTAATTCCATAAAAATGCAAATATTACATCTTTCTAGTGCATTTATCAAGTGACGACCATTCTCACAGCACCAACAGCTCATATATAAGTGTTTGGGTGACAGGACAGTCTAACTCAAAATTTCTTATGTCCATGAATTAGGACATGGACATCTTAATTTGGGTCATCCAGAACACCCGTTTACAGTAACGTGCAATATTAGCACACAAATTCAACACAGGACAGCACAGGAAAAATCCACATTTTAATGCACTATATGTCCAAATGCAAATTATTATTTTTAGCATCAAAACTTGTCCTGACACTCAAATGAACCATATCTGTAGCAAACTGCGTCTCCAAAAGCTCCCACAGCCATTTTGCTAGATGTTCTTGTGAACTTTGAGATGTATTTTCAGGTTGGATTTCTGAGCAAACGTCTTGTGACATGTTACACAGCTGTGAGGCTTCTCTCCTGTGTGCATAAACATGTGTTTTTTCAGTCCTGTACAACTACTGAACATTTTGTCGCATTGTGAGTCAGGGTTTTTTTTAAATAACTGAACAGCATTTGCATTAAAGTACACCTCTTTTCTTCTTTTTCATTACCCCGCAGCATACCTGAGACACTTGGCACTGGGCACAACTCTTCCAGTCGATAGAAGAACTCCCAATGACTGATCTCGAAGTAGCATTTGAATGAGATCCACCAATGGTGACTTTGAAATCTCCACCTCTTCATCTTGTTACTCTCACAAAGCCAAAAGGTATATTTACATACAATAAACAGTAATATCAGCATCTAAATTTGACAGCAAAATCACTTTTATAGTGCAAAACATGTCAAACTAAGATGCTTATTACACTGCATCTTACTTCTGCATCCACGTGGTTTGTTGTATTCTGCTGGAAACTGTCGCCATCATTCGTCTTCTTCACTATTTCAAGAATGAGCTGAAAGACATAAATTGGTACATTTATACTCGAGTCTTTACTTTACCCAATACTGGTGACTCACCGGCCTGCAGCTGAACTATAGTCAAAATTAAATACACACTGGCTTAAAGTGATTAACTAATTGCGCTTCCTGAAGTTACCAACAAGCTGCTGTAGGTTTGCCTTGAAAGATTAATTTAGAACTTTTCAAGGCTAAATAAATGAATTAAATGCATTTATTTGGTTTGGTCCTTCTTCATTCTGACCAAATGCTGTAAAATGTACCCAAAACAATTATAGATGCTCCTCAAAAATGTAATAGTACTTTTTTAAGATGTAAAAAGAAAAGCCACAGATGCACCAATGAGTTCTGATAACCACAGTCACTCACCTGGGCTCTCAGTCCAAGGATCAGCTGAGTCTTACGTTTGTAGCCCAGGAGGTCTGGGATCATCTCTGACACCAGTGAGATGAATTTGGACAGTTTTCATACTCCCCTACTTTTCTCTCCTGAGCAACCTGCCACATACACGCTGACATCAGCCTGAAAGGCGGAACCAAGAGGTTCAGGGAGGACAGGGGAAGACGGAAATCTGACAAACACCACATTATCACCTTACAGCACTATACTGAGAGTTCTGCAATAATGAATACTGCGATTTATCACCTTTTTTTCCAACTGCAAATTATGCCCTCAAAACTTCGTCAATATGCATTTTATCCAATAAGATAATGTTTTCTTACTTTAATCACTTACTTTAACGCTGCAAAATGATAAGATAAGATAACCTTTATTAGTCCCACACGTGGGAAATTTGTTGGGTTAGGCTGCCGACCTTTGCCAGCGTCATCTTACCCTTCCGACCATACATACATACATTACAACATCACATGGGGAAGACAGGTCAGAGAGGTATAACAATGGAAAATGCGCAACATGAGGAAAGACGAGGAGAAAATAATAACTCCCCCCCGACTGAGCTCCAACAGGGTGTAGGTCTGTGCCAGTGTACATGCATATGTGTGTGTTCTGTGTTTAGCCGAGAGAAAGTGTCCCGTCACCCGGTTAGGCAAAAGTCAACAGTCTTCGGTCGACGCACGTGGCCTTGAACGAGGAGGGAAAAAGTCACAACACAGTCTTCTTATCTAAGGGAGAATTGTTATTCCCATCAGCTTTTGCCTTGAGCATCCAGCTGGCGCCAGAGGGCCGCATGAGATGAAGATGGTAGCTGTTTTGTTAGTGCGAACAAACTGCATCCAGTTTTACTGTTGGTCTAATGTCCGTCACTGGTCACAGGTCTCTCAATTCCTATTGTTCTTCTTCAAGATGTTATCCATATAGCAGAGCCACGAGCTTCTCCATGATCTTATCCATATTGCGTTCAAAAACACAGTCTGAGTACTCACAGCCCTGCCCATCGCCTATCATGTTGGCCAGCCTTGTGGGATTTTGAACAGCTGTAGCCGCTTCTTGTTCTTTGATAAGCCAGGTCCGAGCTCCAATCAGCCAGAACTCTGTTATCGTGGTTCCGAATTGGTAGATGTCGTTCAATGTCCTCCATCGAGAGTGTCGCCAGACACACGACGCAACTGACCATCGAGTATCCAGCAGCAAACGTCTCTGAGGGACAATTAGGCTCTCCCAAGCCCAGGAGGGTGTCAGTTGCATTAAGGGGCCAGTTGATCAAATTCATAATTCTTCTTTAGGTTTTTAGAGAACAAGTCTGGGAGACTCTCTTAGAATCAGAATCAGAAGGGTTAGAGAATAAGCGAGACTATACAAAAGACATGAGATGCCAAGCAGGAAAGATAAGGGAGAGGGAGAAGGAGAAAGTGCGACGCCTCCATCAAGAGCCAAGCATAACCAACACTGTCATAAATTCTTGACATCCGCAGTTAAATAGAATGAAATCGTCGACTCAGTATTGGGTGATTTTTCAGTTCCGACGATTTAATCCAAGTTTGCTCGGCTAACGCTATCCTAGGATATTGGTGCACTTGTGCTCTTTTCACTGTATTTCTACAGTATTCTAATTTATTTAATGAAATATTGATATCTGGTGTCCCTGTATTGATACAATATTGCAAATTAACACAATACGATGGCTGTATTGATATGCCACAAAAATTTCACCATGTAGTGGCACAGATTTGTAGAAGCTTCTCCCCACATGTTAAACCACACAGACGCAGCTATACAAACATGTTCCACTTATGGTGCAAGAGCTCAATTGTGACCACGCTTTTAAATGTTTATGGACACTGCAGTTGTTACTGTCAGCACAGTCTGTGTGTCAAAAGCTACTTCAGAGTTGCCCTTGTTCATTGCACGCAGGCCTCGAGAGAGAATTCAGCCGAGACAGAAATGGTAAGATAAATTCATGAAATAATAACAATACAAAATATATATTTATATCCTTATTTATCAAATTACATGAGCAGAACCAGCAATGTTGAAGCTCATTAATACTACAGTTCAAACAAATGCACCCCTTGGACCTTTGGCCTTCTTAATAATCTTCTTAATCTCCTGGAGATCGTTTTGAATAAAATCCTCAGTGGCTGTGGATTTTTTCATGACAGTTGTTGATGCTGAGAAGGAGGGATTGAGTGGAGATGGCAACCCCTCTGTAGGCAATGCTGTTGAGCAGTGCGGTGAATCGCTGAGATCAACAGTTTTCTGGAGCAGGGTGACTGTAGCCAGCCCATCAAGGAATATATATGGGGAGCAGAAGCAAGGTTGCACAGTTTCTTCTCTTCAGCTGCAGCCTCTTCCTCGTCTTCACGAATTTGTCTCTTAAAGATTTCCACTTTATTCAACAAACACTTTCACTCACTCCCAAATTCTTTGCAATTTCCCTCCACAAATTGCTGTCCTTTTCCACGTCTCTATTATGTATTAAGGACCCATTGTAAAGACAATGTTGCACCTCTTCACACAATCTCATAACGTCTATTTGGATTTTTGCAGGTTGGGTTAAAGACATCCTCTGAATTTCTGCCTATAATGAAGACAAAAGAAAGAAAAAGACATTAAACAAGCAACCTAAAGGTGTCTCACATGACACCACATGCACACGTCTCAGGAGCTGTGTACCATTTTGACACAACCACTCCATTCCCCGACTGCCTTTTTTGCTAGCGCACATCTTCTTCACAGGATCCACAGGAATCGTTTTTTCAGTTGAACCATACATTGAATTTTAAAGGGTCATTTCTTTAGCTTTGGGCACAACTGACCAAATTCCTTTTTCTGTCCAGGTTCCTATTTTGGAAAGAATATTTATTATTCCAAAGAGGTCTATTAGGCAAAGTAGTGCAATCACTTGCAACACAATGCTTATTTCTGTGAGTTAAAAATTATAACAGAATTTTTATTTTTTGCAAATACACAACAATGGCTGTATAAATCACACGTTTCACATTAGTGGGTGGGTCGCTGTCAAAAGTCGCTGTGCACGTGCAGTTGCCAGTCACACGCGCTCCTTCTTCTTTACGTTTTTAAGTGCGACAAGCAAAGCACTGTACTGTATTACAAGCGATGTACGAATGGTTCTAATTTTCTATGGTGCAAAAGAAATACTCATTTTCTTTGCTTTTCTGACTTTACTACTGGAACGCGCTCACCTTGAGCAATGACACTCCCACCTCGGACATCCGAGGTAAATTGAACGCAGCTTTACTGACGTTTTTAATAATATTATTAAAGGACTTAGGTTTACATAAAAAACACAAAGAAAAAACAAAAACGGGCTTTTGTCGTGTTTCTCACCTCCGTCGTCTTGTATTTAACAAAGCCCACCAGCCATGACAGCGACTCTAACAACAGTGATGTGTTCGAGGAACCGCATTCCGCCTTTTTCCTGGCTCGGATAAAACGGTTCCACAAGCTTGTTTGCGATTTCTTGCCACGATAACAAGCGTTAATCCGTTTGTTCTTGTAAAACTCATGATCGTACAGGTTGGGATAAAGGGCAACCTGCTCAGCCAACTACGTGTCAAAGCCATTCAGATAGGCTGTGTCTCTTTGGTGTGATGGTCCCGTTTGGGAATTTGTTATCACTCGTTCGTCGAGATTTACCCTCTTTGGGATGAACTCTGGCAGTAGATTTCTTTTCCGGTTTAACGCGGCGTCTTTTACCAATCAGCGTTCGACCTGGGCATAGCGTCATCCAAGTCGAGCGACTACATGGGAGGACGACAGGTAAGTATTAAAATTTTATTAACGCTTTTAATGTCTTTCTTCATTGTTACCGTCGTTCTCTCATTGTTTGTTGGGTTACTTAATTATTTATTCTTTTTTTAAATTTTACGGCATTTTTCTCTTTCCCCTATATGTTTATGTATTTGTACATATACATACCATAATTTATTTATATAGCACTTTAAAAAACAACACATGGCCGACCAAAGTGTTGTACAGCAGAAATACAAGAAAATACAAGAATTCTTGTATTATTACAAGCATAATAATAATAAAAATAATAATATTTTTGTCTTAATTCAGGGGCGATTCTAGGTTTCAAACTTTTAGGGGGGGCTCAGCCCCCAGTCATAATGTCATGCATGTAGTAGTTGTATTTAATATTAATCAAATGTGCTGTCTGCAAATGAAATCATCCCTTTTCAAATTTGCAAACCTCTATTCCATTGGACTATTGAATACCTTCTGTCTAAGAATAATTCAGAGTGCATAATCAGAGATTTCACCCGTTTTAGGGTGGAGCCTTTTGTTGTCAAACCCAAGGCAAAGGCTCAGTCATTAAAGAAGTCCAAGAACTCCCCAAAAGTTGGGGATTTACTTACCTGGATGATTGAGCATCAAGAAGTTAAAGAACTATTTGTGGCAAAGCACATCATTTCAGTCTCAGTCTTCAGTTAACCACATAGAGGCAGTCCTCCAAATCATCATGCACTTAAAGTAGCATTATTCAGTATAGACACTGGAAAATCATAGACAAAGGAAACTAGTAATAGAGTTGTTTTATTATGTTTTTAAACTTAAAATACAAATCCTCCTTTTGTTATGTAGTCTCAGCACAGAACATCATGTACGATAATTTCAAGAGTGGAGAATAGATTTGTAGTCCATCACATTAATGTAGTGGCAGTTATCATTTTCAGCCATGTTTAGAATGATATGAATCCTGTAAAATGCTACCAGTAGTATCAATATGCTCTGTTTATGCTTTGTTTACCAGCATTTTTACAGTGTGCTACTGGAAAGCCAGCAAAACATCCATGAAATACCATGGCTCAGTGCCTGAGTGTCTAAATGAGTCTCACAGTCCTCCCCAACCCCCCAGAAATGACCTCTGACAAGAAAACCCAATTCCTGCTATTCAACACGGAAGAAATGTCAACATTCACAAATTCTGCCAAATTGCAAAACACTAATAAAACCTCTGTAACTTTGTGAAAAACACAAAAGTCCAAAGAGTCGTGCTGACAAATTTGTTTCTTTGTCACAGCAGCTTTTTCTTTATCATGTAGACAAATAGATAAATATATAACTGCTTTACGCTTGAGATCAAAGTAGGCTGTATGTGGCTGCCGATGTAAAATGAGTTTGACACCCTTTCTTTACCCTGGAACAGTAGGGAATACTGACATTAATGTTCCCTTCCTCCCAGATGGAGTTAAAAAATCATGTGTCTTTGGGAATGAACAATCTCCTCAGTCTAGAGCAGGAAAATGACATCAGCGTTTCTCTGAAGCTGCTCCTCTGTCTGGAGATGATGCTGTGGAGTGAGTGTAGTGGATTGACAGGAGTCTGCTTAGCACCCATCACGCTGCCACAATTGTCAGTCTATCCAGCTCCATACCAACAACAAAGCTTGCCTTCCTCTGCATTTTTCCAGATGTGAAACACTTCTTTATGCTTCCGCCCCCAGGCTCCACCCGGAGACCCTAAAGTCCACCATTAACTCCTTGGTTTTGCTGCTGTTAAGATGGAATTGTCTGGATTCACACCATTCAACAAAGCCTGCGATCAGTTTTCTGTACTCCTCGTCCTGTCCACTCCTGATACAGCCCACGACTGCAGTAGTGTCAGTGACCTTCTGCTTGTGACAGCACTCCGAGTTGTATATGAAGTCTGATTTGTACAGGGTGAGCAGGAAGAGAGAAAGCACAGTCCCCTGCGGCACTCACACGTTACTGACCATAGTCACCCACCCATACTGAGGTCTGCCCACAGTGAAAAGCAAACAACAGTTTGAAAGCAAACAACTATTCGTAATCACTGATAAATTAGGTTTTTTGTGTCTGGCATTTATGTTTTGGGGTTTGGTATCCAAACTTTTCAGTACCACTGCTGAGGTTTAGCTAGGTTTTGCAGTTTATGCATTATTACAATTGGAAATATAAAAGTAAAGACTGACAGCAGACAAGATGAATCTGCACCATCAAACTCAGGTGTGGGATTGTGGGCTGTCACCTCTGACTTCCTCTACCAGAGAAGAAGCTGATGCAATTTAAAGTGCCAAGTCATCCAAATTATCAAAGCTGACTGAATACTGGAGGCTTCTTATATTTCCATTTTCCCCTGGGCAGCTCAAGACGATGGTTTGTTTGCAAGGCATCTTATAGGCTGGAAGAAAATTGAGAAAAGTGGTAATAAAAATGTGGTATTGTTTCTTTTTTAATTTCGCAGGCAGGTAAGCAAGCGACCGGAGTTTATGCTAGCTGGTAAAGCAGCTTACACACTGGGCATATTGCCAGTCAGTTATGAGGATAATGCAGACAACTACACACTCAAACCCACACATATGGCCTACTTAGAACCACCAACTGAACATACACACACACACACACACACACACACATGCACAGGCGGTGTTACCGAACTGAAATGACTGGTATTATTGAATGTGCAGGTCATCAGCCAGGTCCCCTGCACTGAAACGTCACACTAGTAATCCCTCTTTAAATAACACCAGTCTTTATGAAGCTTTCGGTCACTGATCAAATGGTAAATGGCCTGTATTTGTATACTAGTCCCTAAGGACCCCAAAGCGCTTTACACATCCAGTCATCCACCCATTCACATACTGGTTATGGCAAGCTACATGGTAGCCACAGCCACCCTGACAGAGGCGAGGCTGCCGAACACTGGCACCACCTGGCCCTCTGACCACCACCAGTAAGCAACGGGTGAAGTGGGGGTCGAACCAGCAGCCTTCCGATTACAAGGCAAACTCCCAACTCTTGAGTCAATGTGAAGCTAAACTGGTGAAATTGGACTAAATGAAATTTAAAGTGAGTTTTGGATCCATGTTGCAGATAGTGTGATGTCAGTATGATACTCAACACTGAAATATGTCCATGTATTGAAATGCAATACAATAGATAAAGCTGAGCCTTTGAATCTTTGTACTTTCTATACAACAGATCTGGAAATTTAAGTTTGAAATGATCAACATGAGTCTTGCTGGACTGAGTTAATATCAAATATCCACAGGTAACCTATCTTCTCTGTTTGATCCATACTTCTAATCATATTTTTTTGTTGTCATTTACTTTTTGTCCTTTCCAGTTTACAGAATGAATAATCTTATTTTGGGCAAATTACAAGTGAGTGGTCAGCAAATAAAATTACTCTTTCCAGTGTTTTTAAGATAAACCTCACAAATAGGGACATATTCATATTCATATTCAACTGAATTAAAATGTAGGCTCTATTTTTCTATATGATGCTCCATTACAAACAGTTTATTCATTCATCAATTTTCATCCCTGCTTCTATCCAAAAACAACGATTGGACGTGAAGCCAAGCAGTCGTCGTTATTACTGTATCTTCCACTACAATCTCATGTGCACGTGTACAGCTTTTACCACCAGAGGGAGACACATACCTTTTTATATCACAGCTAAATGCGGACAAAACACAGATAAAGGGGCCTGTAAGAAATTCACTTCCCTAATGGCATTCCTCCCAGGAAACAGAACTCAATCATTTTTAACAGGCACTCATAAATTTCAATGAGTTTTTAATTAGGAGGAGCTCAGAGTAATTGTCTCCCAGGCAGTTTTAACAGGAGGAAGATCATGCTGACAGATTGACAGAGTCTGTGTGGCAGATTGCTGCAAATCACCTAATTATGAGAAGAAGTCAAACTTTCAGCTTTTGATCATGATTATTTTGGCTTTATTGGATAATTTCACCATCAACAGAGAAAGGAAGTGCTGCCGAGTGTCTGCATCAGAGAATCATGTGTGATGAAAGTCTCAGACTCATCTTCAGGGCACTGTAAATTTGTTTTTCTTGCCTTTTGTTCAGTTGTTTGTTAAAAAAACGCACAGTTAGAAACTTATATATGTTTAAAACTCAAAGGTTTGTTAAATATTATACTATTTTTTTGTTAATGTTGCTTGCATATGATCTAAAAACCTTCCCCCGGGCCATGATTAAAATCATAGAAACCCTTGCTGAATTTTTCCATAAATACGCTGAATTTCCTGCTGAGAAGTCTTTGAAATGACATCTGCGAATATGGATATGGAAATATTATCATATGAAAATTTTGAATTCTTAAATACTTCACTGAAATAGCCCCATTCCCAGCACTTTGTAGCTTGGATTTTAGTTCCCCAAGTTGTCCACTTAAGCAGTATCGGTCCAAATTTAGTTGAGAAAAATGGTGCTTACAGGTAAATGCTCCGGTTTTGGGTGAGCTGGATTTGAAAACAAGGTGAACCAATGTTTTCTTTTGCAGAGTTACTCAGCCACGAGAAGTAACGTCACACATTTTTGAGTGGACTTGAACATTAATTAGAATTCATTATGGAGATGTTCTGCAGGCTCAAGCCCAATTTCTGTTTTACTTATAATTGGAAGAGCAGTTTTAGTTGTACCTCTAAGATTTAAAAAAAAAAAAATCCCACAGGTTTCCAGCATCACCTGTGTTCATTATGTCTGTATGGTAGGTCACAGACATTATTATGCTTGCGGCCTACCCTGTATATCCTAGTGCTCAAATATATAGTCACCAGATTCTCTTTGGACTCAAGCATCAGAGCTGTTTTAAGATATTGTGTGTGTTCTGATTTCTTTGTGTTTGATTAGAATTATTTATTTTGCTTCGATGACTATACTCTCCGTTCAAGCCTGGTCACAAAGATTTGGCTTTAG